TAAAAGGATCAATGAAGCTAGCAGTAATCTGGTGTCTTTATACACTGCTTAAAACCAATTTTATAAGCTATTTGATAGTTTATTTTATATCTTTACAAATACATAATACGCATCTTCAAATTTAAGAAATATATTTAGGTTTTTATAAATATATATAATCACGTCTCTATCATGGTTTAGATGGGCTGCAGTGTTTCCACTTATGGACCAAATATTCCTTTGAGGTATACTTAAGTATGTATATAAATATATCCACTTAAAGACATTTATTAGACTTAAAAATTATGTATATTTTTTTAAAATTTTTCTACTCATTTGATATAATTTCAGAAATCCACAAGAGATTACTTGCCCAGGCAGGCAAGAGAAAATTTATTTTTTTAATTATATAATTACTGACTTATATGCATTTGACAGTTGCAATTAAATTAAATTTAAAAATAAAAGAATTGAAAAGTAAAAAAGTTTTATTCCCTATTCAATATAACATTGTTATTTCTTGTCCATTAGAAAATGTTGCTAATACTTCCAAAGACAATTTGAGTAGAGGGAATACATTTCAGAGTTGATAAATAATTAATTCAAGTTTATGTGAAAACTTTAGAAAATAACTTTGCAGACACATTATTCCACAAAGAGTGCATAAATTAGAATTTTATACTACATCAGGAACAACACTACGAGGATATGGAATGGGTACACACAATTGCCTGAATTGAGCCAATGGACGAGAACTATTTAATCTGTTTTAATTGAGTTGGTTCGCATATGTAAATTAAAATGCATTTTACAGCTGATAATTGGATTGATAGTTTTTATTAGAATATTATTATCAGGGAAATAATCTTGTATTTACTTAAAACACTCAAAAAAGACAAACAATTTTATTTTAATAATGATAAAAATATTACTTTTCTATTTTTCATAATTAAGTCTATTAAGTCGATTTAATAATATTTATGTATAATTCTTTTGTATAATTTTCTGAGTAGACAAAAGCCTAGATATCATTCATTGATTTCTTAAAAATTTTCATTTGTATTGACTGAACCCATATTAGTACGTATAAAGATTAATGATAGTGAAATACATAAATAGACTTTTTAATAAAAGTAATGTATTTCTACACTGTCTAGTTGCGAAATAGGCACACAATCTGAATATTGCCTGCAGTGATGAAGACACGAAGCGCAAAGGAGAAGAAGTTATAAAAATTCTGGGACCTTTTTTCTGTTGCTGTTCGGCTTTTTTAACGAACTCGACTAACATATATTCCATCTACCAGTTTTGGAGACTAAGATTCTGCACAAATATTGAATTAACTATTATCTTTAAATTTGTCAATGACACACATATCTTTAATAATGTATATTTTCATTTACTGCCTTTAAGTGGTCTGAAATGGTATCGCTACGGATTTATCAGGTTAATTTGTGATCTCTGCAAGAAAGTTATACCCCAATAACTTATTTGTCTAACGTATTGTAGTTTCTTCTAGTTGTTCTGTAATAAAAAATTTTTTAATACATTTTATGGATTTTTGAACTTTCATACTTAAAGGAAATTAGTTTATGATATGCAGTTATATAAATAATTTCGATATCAAATAGTCATATGAAAAGTATTCATAACTATATAAAATAAACCAAAAATATTATTTTTTCTTATTGAAAATATTTCTAAATTGTTTATAATATTCTTATGTAAGTTTTTTAAAATAATTTTACCTCAATTACGAGGTCGGTTTATGTTAATTGAAATCAAAGCATAATGTACGCTTTTGAACAAAAATTGTTACTTTTATTCATGATGCGGAAAATATGCCAGTGTTGCAAGTAAAACAAAAATAGTATTAAAAATAAAATAAAATTGAAAAGGAAAAAACTACAACTACTATTACAAATGAATAAGCAACAATCTATACAGATGCATTCTTTTTAAATCCAAATATTGTGTATTATATGTATACCATATATGATATCTGTTAGTTTGTAGTTTAAAACTTCATTTCTGTAAACTTCACTACTTATTGTAGTGATATTTTTATTATATTGCTAATACATCATATTACGAGATAAAATAGTTGAGAGATATAGATCAGAAAGGAAAAAAACAATCAAAGAGAAAAAGTGTAAATTTAAATTGAATAAAAAATCGTCCTTACGTTGTCTTCAACAAAATTGTCCTTTCCCGCTATTGGATACTTTTGACTTATTTTTATTTTTTGGTTTATACATTAAGTAAGATCCAAAAAGTTAGTGAAGAAACGAACGCAATGACTTAAAAAAAGAAAAAAAAGGGAAAAATATGTAAATTTCTTAAGGCCTCGACATATGGCGAGGCAGAGAGATAGTAGGACTGATATGGATAGAAAAGAATTTAAGATGTATACTCACTGCATAATAAGATTTTTACATTTATTAACTCAGTTAATACTATTTATCAGTTTTTTAATAGTTAATATTAAACTGCGGGCACAGCTGGTCCTTATACGGTTAGTGAAAGCGAAAAAATAAACATGAACATAACAAAAATCGCCTTCAACAAATTTTCCATTCCCTCTACTGGATACTTTTGTATTATTTTTATATTTTTGTTTATACATTAACAGTCGCTCCCCTGTATGCATTACTTGCATCTACATAATTTTAAATTTATAAACACAAAACGTTGCCTCCATTTAGGCGCTTTTCAACTGCATGCACACAATATCATAGCATATTTTATTTCATGCTTTTGCCTTTGCCTTGATAGCTGCACTTGCAGTGATGCAATAAGCAGGTATACACTAAGCACTGATGCAGCAGCGATGATATTTGACTGTGTGTGTCCTGACAAAAAAACAAAACTGCAAGGAATAGACAAAAGATATTTTTAAAATTATTTTATAGCATTTAAGGTAAAATTTGTGCAATCCAAAATATTCCTAAGTGATAATGTTAGCTACAAAAACAGTAAATTAATTTTAATAAGTAAAATTTATGTACTTTAATAATTTTATTCCTAAACATTTTAGGTTTTCGAAATATATGTAACACTTTGATTTTTAACGTCAATGTATAAACAATTAATGCTATTACTAATTATAATAGAAGACTATAATGTCCTACTTATAGCATCAATAAATTAACATATTGCTATATACTTACTTAGTTGACTATTACAGACTTGAGTGTTTTTGGTAGATTTCACGATATTATGTGCCTTTTTGGAGCATCCTTGTGCCGTCCATAGCATTTCCTAAGAAGCTGTGGTGTCAGTCTTGAATTATGCGTCTTTAATAAATACTCACTTACTGAGTTAGCTATTAAAGACTAGAGCCGTCCTTGGCCGCGTCCAGTTGAGTAAACCAACCAGTTCAATCAGTAGCTTGTTAGCTCAAGTAGTAGTGTTGAGTGCCTTCATATCATTGGTCATCTGGTACTTCAACCCTAAATGAGGACGTTCTCCAGCTCGATGGGTACCGATTTAATACCTTAATCGTTCTATCTCACTCGATACTTGCCAGTATGTAAGGGATCAAATAACTTTTTTCTGAAGTGCTCCTAATACCTTTTCATCATTATTGTTAACTGTCCAGCCATACAATACGACAGGCATTATAATAACCTGATACTCTACAAGCCTTCTATAATAATGTCATCTATATAATAGTATAATAGTATATTATATATCTGTATTATGTATTAGTTAATAGAGATAATAAATTTATTTATGAAACAAGAATTTTCTACTAAAAAAATAAATTATATTATATTTATAATATTTTATTTATTGTTTAAGATAATAACGCTTTTTATTGAATAAAAAACAAAGATTATATACTGCAATCCTATATTATATCCTATATTATAACATATAACCAACTTGACGTTCGAAGGATTCTAAACTCGAAAGATGAATTTGAGTTTCATTTTTTATAAGTTCATTTGTGGTATTGTCGGTTATTAATGTACTTCTATAATGAACAATTCAACAAAACATCTTCTTAACAGAACTGTGCACTCATTCTAAATCGACCTAAATTTATATAATTTATCGAATTATGGAGTTTCAAATTTGGTTTCGACGACAAAGGCACTTACACTGGTTTTCGAATCGAATCTCTAGTTCAGAGTGTCAATCTACTCTTCGGAACTGCTTCTGAAATGTATGAGTTTCAAATTTGGTTCCGACGACAGGCACATACACTGGTTTTCGAATCGAATCTCTGGTTCAGAGTGTCAATCTACTCTTCGGAACTGCTTTGGAAATGTATATGATTTAAAGGCATGCTTTGAAATACCTTAACACCTTCTAGACAACGTCTGATTATTTTATTTTATTTTTGTTTCAAGATTTTATATTTTATTGCCCAATTGCAATTTAGTATATTTTTCTGTAAAATGAAGTAATATTATATTTCTATAGCTACACGCTGCACTAGCTAGCTCCTACTCAACATTCTAAAAAAGTTTTTTCATTCGAGTTATGAATCAGCTTATTATTTACTGCCGTTTTATATAATATGCATAAATTAATGTATGATGTAATTAAATTGGTTTTCTTCCATTCATATATTCTACATTATAAATAATTACACATATATTATTTGACAGAGTTAACATACGTTTAAGGAGAGTTATATACACATTAAAATAAATTTGGATAATTCATTTTTATATTTACAACGTTTCTATGTAAATGCCATACACAATATTATCCTTATGTATTAATTTCTTACCAGAAAAGATTAACATTTCCACATTGTGTCACACTATGTATATTTCTTTACACTATAGTATTTATTTAAACAGGCGTGAAGTTTTTTGTACTTTTTGTAGTTAAGATCGTGTTTACCATTATCTTATTTTATTTTTATATTGAGTTTCCGACAGCATAATACAGAAACGGCAAATAACACTACATAAAACTAATGCCAAAAAATATTCTACTTTTATAATGTAACACTCTATTTTAATAATATCTAAAATCCGCAATATTTTTTTGTTCTTTTGCAGATTTCTACTTGAAATTTTACGCAACAATTTGAACTTTACACAATTACACCAAATGCTTGGTACACCTTTCAAAGTGTAAGTAATAAAAAGCGACACTTTTATTTCCGCCCAAAAACACACTGCAAAAGAAAATCCTTCACCTTTTCCCATAAAACGCACAATGAAAGACGGCGTTGTACGATGGAACGCCGTGCAAAATTTAAACGAAAATAAAAATAAAAATAAAAATCAAAATCAAAATATTAGCATAAAAAATAGAAGCGGTAAGAACAACGTAACAACCAACAGCGACTATAATATTGTATATACACATGTTGCTGACAATGCTGTACCGCAACATGTTGCACACGACAAACAGAGAACTTTGTTGATAAATGCGTGTCATAGCGCCAAAACCGACACGTTAGAAAAAGCAAATGATTGTGATAAAAATGAAAATATACATAAAAACTCGTCTAGTTTTTTAGTGCACAAACGTAATAGACCTAAACTTTATGAAATTTTAGATAATATTTCGTTTAGTAGACGTTTTTTAATTAATTCAAAACGACATAATCAAGAGCAACATTCAACACGGACACTTTTCGGCATTAATAATTTATACAAAATTTTATTAATTTGTTTACAATTTAGTGCGGTAGTATTTTTGTGCAATTTAAATGTCGGTTTCGCATTAGCAGCTAAACTTGATGAGTCCAGTGTCGAACTAGGTTTTGATGAGGTCTTCGACGGCAACAGTAACAGTCTCAGCAACAGTGGGAGTGCTAAACACTTTACGCACACGTGGGCTGTTCACATACCAAATGCTGATGATGAGACAGCGCATCAAGTTGCTAGAGATCATGGTTTCGTGAATATGGGCAAGGTGAGTTTCAGTTTAATTATTTTAATTGCAATTTGGTTAATAGTGAAATGATATATTTATTAAATAAGACATTTTAAATGGTGTAATGGTATTTTTAATTAAAAATTATAAAATCTTATTTTTTTCTTTCATAAAACGAATAATTTTCAATATAAAATGGAAATATAAGCTTAGAAAGAGTATTTTTAATTTTCTGTTAAAGGATGTGGAGATACCGCTATTCTCTTTGAAATCTGCTGATTATCGGTCTTCGCTCTATTATAAAATCATTGAACCAATAGTTATTCTCAGCTAAAAAATAAGTGTTGACAATAGTAAAATTCTGTTATATAAGTAAACATTTAATTCTTTATTTAACAATAGATATAAAAGTTGCTTTTGATAAATAAATTATTTTTATGTATTATAAATTTATTAATGACCAACTCTAAATTAGTGAAAGTTAATCAAGAGCTTTATATTCCTATTTTTTTTTATTCTTTTTTTGAGATTTTGCAGTTAGATCTAGTCCTTCATATTTTCTAGTTTTTAAGGGTCAAATAATTGGAAGTAACATAATTTTAAATAAACTTTATATTTATTTAAAAGTATAATATTAAAAATATTTTGGACTAATAATTAATGCTTGGGGGGCTGCTGTATCTTGTCGCTATTGTGATAGCTTATTATCGTATTGTTTTAGATGCATATGATTTATAAAATTGGTGTGGTGTTTTCGGTTAATATATTTAATTACCAGGAATAATATTTATTGTAAAATATAGGCATGTAGGGGATAAAGAGGAACAAAAGAAGAGGGGTTCACTGTCGAAATAAGTTTAAATGATATATTAATGCTTGAGCATATCATAACATTTAAGTATAACAAATGTATATTAATTAAATAATTACTTATTACAAAAAGTAATTACAAAACAACATTTTATATTTTCAGTATAGCAAAATACGATCATGGTACTAAGGATAAAAAATTTTTAAGATTAAATTTTAGTTTAGGTTTTATTGAATGAGAATATATTAATATAAATGAAATTGTAAATTTTTACTAGAAATGGAAAAAATATTTTAATACAACATAGAAAAAGAATTAGCGAGAATAATCAGTAAAAGCAATACCTTCTAATTAACCTTCTAAATATATATTTAGATATATATTTTATATTAAAATTCTCTTCAATTATTTTCATGATATTTTAAATAAATCTTCACACTTTATTTATGCTAAGGAAAGAAGCTAATTACTATTATTATTAGCTGTCATTTGTATTAAGGCACTTATATTCTTCATTATATTTCCTTTCAAATGTACTTATTTAAGAATACCTGAAGCAATACTAATTTCCCACAATTGACTGCATTAAATTTGTGTTTGTATTTAATTTCTTAGTATTTTTGTGAACAATTATCTTAAGGGTCCGCACTTGAAATTCCCTTGAAAGTCAAATTAGTAAAGTTTTTTTTTTACCTTGCTATACAGCAACTTTCAATGAAGCGTAAATAAACTTTTGTTAACATTTAGCTCTGAGTTGGTTGTTGTCGCGATTTTGGCAGTCAATTGTATGTCCTTATGGGTTAAAAACAAATAAAAGTTTACTAGTTTGTCGCCAGGATGCGAAATAAGCCAAAAATGTGCTGTTAACTAAGGCAACAAAGTACAACTAAAATTTTTTTGTTTGAATTTTTTATTGTATTAACTTTACAGTCAATTTGAGTTTGCTAAACTTTAATAAGAAGTGGCAGCTGTATATTTACTAAAAGTTAATTTTAACTTACTAAAATATAAATAATATATATTAAGAATATATGTAGATTGTTTAAGTAAAGGTAAAAATAATCAGTAGATTATTAAAAACCTTTTAGTAAGTAATACTAACTCCCCTATTCTGCGTAATTGATAAATTTACCATCTTGTTTATTTGTCAAGGTTGACAATTTGTCAAGGTTTTGGTATTTTATGCTATAAATAGAAAGCTCTTTTTTAGATAAATTACAAAGTTTACAAATGCTCTTGACGAATAAAATGCGCTTTTCCCACTCCTGTTTATTTACAACATTAACCTCTCCGATTGGCACAGAATTACCGATGCTTTATAATACTAATTATTACATTTTGATATCTTTAGCTTACAAATATTTTTGTTATAATAAATATTGTTTCTATTATTTAATATAACTATATGCGTAATATTAAGCTCACGTGTTTAGCTTTCGTAATAAGGTTTATGTTCTGTTTATTATATTTTATAGCTATCTTATAAAAGGAATACTAATACGAAAAAGTTCACTTCATATTTTCAATCGAACTCTCGTAACTTAAATCACCTGCAAAAATCGTGAACTATAATAAACTTTTTTAGGTTTCACTCACACAGAAGCGTCAAAGGATGGATTTTTATAGCTATTATTTTGCTATTTCCCTAACTTTTGAGAGTTTATTTTGCCTAGTTTTTACTTCTCATATCCAGCGATGACACAACGCTCTAGTTATTTGTCTCTAAAGAACTTTATATCCCTGGTCCTATATTGAAGCTATCAGTAGTTTTTGTTATTGCAACAACAAAATTGAATTTTATATTCTTTAATTCGATTTGAACTTATACGTATCTGCATACGACTACTTGCTATATAATCATCACCCTCAGCAGCAGATAGTATATCTATCCACTGCTATGCTCATTTAACTTGATTGCTACTGTGGTCCAGTCTAGCAAGACTGTTGTCATGAAAAGAAAAGTTTCACTCAATTTGGCAACCATTTAGCAGTAAAATCAGATTATTCAGCTGCCACATAAGTTTGTCGTTCGGGTTTCAAAATTGCCGGTGCCACTAAGTTATGCTGAAGTTTTTCCCAGTGAGTATGAGGCCTGTTTAGGCTATAACTTATTTTACATCATAAGTTTTTTTATATGTAAGTATAAACATTCTCACATGGGTAAGTAAATTTGAAAAACTTTTAGGTATTTTTTTCTTGTAATATCTTGTTGTTGTTGTATTGATTGAAAACTAACTTACAGTGATTTGGGTTTGATCACAAAATAAAGTTTTTTAGTCAGTAACTGTCCTGCAGCTAAGTTTATTTTCTTGTTGAACTTTCTCACCAAATATTAAGATATTTTGTGTATCTTATGTTAATATTTGCATAAGGATGTTTTATATTTTGTGTAATATCACTACAGCAATTTTATACTAATATAAATTTGCATAATTTCAATTTGATTTGAGTGATATTTTAGTTTAAGTGATACTTTGCATATATGCCGTAGGGCCCAATTTTAATATATGTTTTTGCAAAATAAATTGAATTTTTTTTTTGTTAAGTAAATGTCATGGATACGCAAAAGTTTATAATAAGTTTTGTGTAAAATTTATGTAGTTAAAAGTTTAAGAAATTTTTATTTACTTTTATAATTGAAAGTTTTATTTGAAAAAAATTTATTTTGGTATTGCTAAAAATTGTATTTTATTTTCTCACTGAGTAAAGAAAAATTGTTTGCATAAATTGCAAAAGCGAACTAAAGTTCTTGTGCTTCAGAGAAAACAATAAACAACTGCAATCTTACAAAAATATTTTTCAAATATTTTATTTTTAATTTATAGAAACTTTTTCTAAAAGAAAAATTATTTCTTTAATTTAGAAAATGTACAACTATAACTTCAATTGCGAATACCTATGCTTTTGAAATACCTTTATATTTAAATGAAGAAAAAATAACATAAGCATATACATAAAATATTTACTGAAATTGAAAATCTAATTTTCTAATTTTTCAACAACCAAAAAATTTCTTTATTTATATTTGTGCAAAATGAATAAATATACACGATTTTATATACATATTTTGTGAAACTCAAATATTTATTTGCAAACATTACAGAAATTAGCACAGATAAACTTTTTTCCAGACCTAAGCAAAATTTATTTGGTTGACACTCATTCTCACAATAAAATTACTCATACGCCATGTGGAATATTTACACATTGAAATTTTTCTTTAAATTTTAAAGTCGTAAATATATCTAAATAACTATATATTTATTTATATATATATAGAAGATTCATATCTACATATAAATTACTGTAAATTTTTGTAAATTTCTTTGAATGTATAAATTCTTATTACACAAAAATATATTTGTACATGTATTATTTATATTTTTAATATAAATTGTCTTGAAAATTATTTAATTTTCATTTCTTTTTGTTTTCCATTTTGGTTACTTAAAGAAAAATCTTTGAAATTTAACAAAATACTCATTTTGTTTTCAAGTCCTAATTTTTATCTGTATTTTAATTTATTCCTTTATTCATATAAAATAATTTATCAAGAAAAGATAAATTGAATCCAACTTCAAAATTTTTTTGTTTTATTTTTTGGTTACGCTTCTAAAATTTTAAAAAATATATAAAATGAGAATTAGTAAACAGAAAGAAACCAATAAAATAATTTTCAGATATAAAATCTAATTCTAGTTCGTAACATACATTATTACAATTATATTATTATTTATTTAGTAACTACTCTTAAGAAATCAAAATAATTGGAGTTTGACAAAACGATAGAAATAACACTAGAAGATATATTATATGCTGTCAGATCAATGCCAAATGGTTTTGATGATCATGGATAACTGTGTGCTCTCTATATGCTTCCAACGAAAATGGAATAAGTGATTTTAAATATATTTATATATTTCCAGAACAACATCTGCAGCGACAGTTTAGTTTTTTGTTAACGTCTTTAGCTTTTTAAAGTTGATTAGTTAATGTAGGATCAAGTTCTGCAGATCTTAAATGATGATTAAATGATTGTTTACATGATATTACAGAATTATGGATAATGAATTAGCTAGTTACATTATCAATGCCAGTTCTACTAGGAAAGTTATTATCCTAAAACCAATTTGCTTAGTACAATTTCTTTGTTGGGTTAATGACTTTTTGCGCTTTGTTAATAGAGTTTATTTACTTATTAAAAAAATAATTTATGTTGTAATTTCCG